GATCTGGAGACTGGGTCCCTTGGTCTCGCTCTTAAATCTTACTTCTGTCTCTATCTCTTTATTCAATCTGCATCACCCCTCCCGTGTCCCATTTGCCCTTGCCACGCAGGACGTGACAATCACATATTATGTAGCCTCTGGGAAACAAACTCCTCTGTACTCTTTGAGAATGAGAAAAAAGGCAAATAATCATGGTACTATCATGAAAAGTTTTGATCTCTATTCTCCTTGAAAGCATCTTGTGGACTCCATACCACAATTTGAGAAGCTGTCTGTGCCCTATACTGATCCAGAGATACATTAACTTCCTTTTTCTTCCTGCCTCTGTGGTATTTGGTTAGAGCACATTTCAACTCTATTGTAATATATGCTTTGTAGCAAGATTTGAGGTTCTTATGTGACAGGCTCTACACAAAGCATTTTTGCACATACCATTGAATCCGAACAACAATCTGAGGATTACTACTGTTTCCCCAATTTACAGATAAGGAAACTGAGGTTCAGAGAGGTTAAGTGATTTCCCAACGGTCACACAGCTAACTTGGACTAGGCTGAGGATTTGATCCCAGAACTGATTCTAGAATTCATTCCCTTAATCACAAAACTACATTGTTTCTTGTGATTCATATTTTCATAGGTCTATTTACAAACCCAAGAAAAGGGAAGTTAAAGAGATACTGAGATGAGACCTATGGAGAGCTGTAATTTGGGTTCCAGTCTGAAATCAAAACTTCATTTCTTCCATTACAAATTTGCACCCCACAGGTTTGACTTCCTGCTGGAACCTTCATGGGTATATACAGAATGGCCTCCTTTCCTTCAAGTGGACTCTGGCTATAATAAAAGATGGTCTGCTCATCCCAAAGCTGTGTGCTAGATAATTTGGAGTGCTTTTTCATACTCTAAGCTATCTGGTCTGCAAAAGAAACCTCCACACTAGGCTGGGCAGGGAATATTGGCCCCATTGGTTTGAGGAAACATTTATACAGGTTGCCTTACCCAAGCTGATACACTGCACAGAGCAGTAACTGAAATCCAGGTCTTCTCATTTCAATCCGATATTTTTTAATATGCTAACACCAAGGTTTTGTCTTTTTTTCAAAAAAAAAAAATCCAGATCAATTGTCAAAAGCTTTTTGAAAGGTTTACTCACTCTGAACTAAGAGAATCGCTCTCCTAACTTAATGTGCTCAAGCCAAACGTCTTTTTGGGGTTCTGCAAACCAGGAAAATGCCTCAGAATTACAGCTACATGTTCACAGTAGAAAGTATAACGGGCAAGAAGAGGGTCTTTTTCCCTCCAGAGACATAATCAGATAATGCTTTTGTCCAAGGGATGGAGATTCTATTTGGTATTCTGCAAGGCATAATAGCACAACAGATTGTGTGGTTTGGATTTTGGCTTTCCCACTTAAGCACCATTTCTTTGGTAGTTTACTAATGACCATTGTTGAAATTGCTAATATGTAGTACTAGCGATATGTAGTAATGTCACTTGTTAAGTCTTAACTGGCAGACACTTCATGAAGTACTTTATGTATAGTATCATTTAACCATCTTTGAGATTATTGAATTTAATGTATGTCCTTTTGTGCAAGATCTTATTTAAACACCACCACATCCTTGAGGTAGGGTTACTATTATTTCCTTCATTTTGCAGTTTATAATTACTAGAGCCAGCTGTAAGAATGTACTACAGAACTAAACTTACAAAAACATGAGAAAAATCACAAAAGTACCTTTCTCTGACAGCCAGAAAAGCATTTACTTCTAATTATTCAGAGCAATACATACATTAAAACTAAAGTGATGATAGTCTGCTTATCTAAGGTAAGTGGTTCAAAAGCCACACTCAGATCTAGATTAACATCAGACCTAATTCTGCAAGTGTAGGCAGCCTGTGCAGTGACATCAGTTGCTGGCTTGAAATTGATCCACATCTCCATCTGGTACTTGGTTATTAGAACTCTGCTCTGCCAATAGCACTTCTGCATAACAACTGCCTACAGTTTGAAATATTTAATTAGGGCGATCCTCAGTGGGGCACTAATGTCAGGCCACGTGGATTCATTAGGCTGTTTCTAACATACTTCGCAGGGTTGAGTCAGTCCATTTACTTCCTTTTGCGTGACAACTTATATGCCTGAAAATATCTTTACTGTTCCCTCACCTTTAAATACTAGAGATGGATATAAAATTCTAGGTTGGAATTTTCCCTTGAACACATTGAACATGTGCTATTTTGCTGTTAAAATAAGACATATGCTGTCTACCTCCTCTTTCTTTGTAGGCGATCTAGTTGCAGTTTCTTTGCCTTTTATGTCCCCCTCTATATAATGCATCCAGTGGTTTTCCTTCTCTTGTTTGTACCCCATAAACTGGTTTTTCATTTTTAATTCTAGGAAACTCCCCAATGTGTTCACTTGGTTCTTTGTAACTTTATTCCTGTCGTATGTTTCCAACATGCTCTTGTATAGTGAACAGAACAGGTAAGACAGATTAAGTGCCCAGTCTTGTGATTATGAGAGGCTGACAGATTGAAGAGAGATCCTGTGGGGTGGTGTGATCAGGGACATTCATTCTGAAGTAAAATGTGAACTGAGACCTGAATGCCAAAGAGCTAACCACACAACCATCCGAGTTGTGGAACATGGCCAAACATCAAGTCCAAATCATGCTCAATCACATATTTTTATTACCTTTGGCATTACTGGTGTCTCTCTTTGGTCTGCTCAGACCTTGACCTTTCTAATCCCTCCCATGAAAAGATTAAACCTGTCTTGTGCCAAGTAGTGCACTCTAGTTATCACTAGTGGCACAGAGGATTCAATGAAGGATGCAGAAAGGCATAACCTTGGGATAAATAGGGTAAAGCTTCCAGCAACCCATGCTCCGAAATGAGTCTGTGCTTGGTTCCCCAGCAAGTCAGATCAGAGATCTCATTTTGATAAAACATTAAGATGGGACTCTTCTCATCTTTCAAGTATTGAGAGAAATACAGTGTCAGCAGAAGTGGCAGCAGCAGCTGCTAAAATCCTTACTCAAATATCCAGTAATAAGTGGTACAGGGAATAAGAGGAAAAAGATAAATATGTAACTGATCTGTTCCCACAAGAGGTTTCCTTACCATTTATTTTATCTGTGCTGAGAGAAATGTTAATTTTTTATTAACTTAATTCATACACTTGTGATAGATTTTGCTGTGTAGAACTAGCCTATGGTGAAAAAGATTGGAAGAGTGGTTACCTTGGGGTAGGGTTACCACTTTTAGAGCATAGAAAGCCTTCTGAAATGCTAGAAACACTCCAATCGATGGGATGGCACTTGAATGGATACATACATGTACATCAAACTAAGCATTTCAGATGTCTGTACTCTCCTGCTATAACCTCAGTAAAAAGTAATTTGCCATGCTTGTGTAATGACTATTTTTATATTTCTTTAAATACCTTTTTAAAGCTAAAAGAGAAATAAAACCATCTGACCATCATAATTAGGCACTGAGAATGAGAGGACACATACATTATTGTAGAAATGTCCTAAAATAGCTTAAAGATGAACAGCTCACATAATCCCCCACTATCAACGATCTCTTCAGGTGGTTGTCATTATAGCAAGCCAGTAAAGGATGTAGAGGAATCTCAAAAGTAATAAGACTCAGGAAGAAACAAAGACCCAGAAACATGACTTTCAGCAATTTATCATTTAGGTCTGCATTTCTCAAACTGGAACCTGTGGACATAGCTCAGAAATTAGTTTTTAAGTATTTCAGGCAAATCTAAACAAAACTTACACAAGCACATTCTAGATTATGCAAATGATCAACCACTTTACCATGTACTGTAAAGTACAGCTACCTGTAATTTACTGCTCATACTTGCAAATTATGTTGGTACCAAGGAACACCTAGAGACTTTTTATTGTCTGGCTGTTAATTCTTTGGCATTGTTGAACTCATGTCCTACTCCCGCACAGTATGATTACACTATAACATAAGGTATTTTAAGTTTAGTTTGCCAATTTTAAGTAAAAAATGTAAATTGTGAGAAACTGTAAACATTTGCTTTTATAATTCATTTTGAAAATCTTTTTTTTTTTTAAAGATTTTATTGGGGAATTGGGGAAGGGAAACAGTGCTGGGGAATCGGGGGAAGGGGAACAGTCAAGTTGCTGTTGGTTTCTTCAGTCTAGTTGTGGAGGATGTTGCTTCGCTGGCCCAAGCTGGCACCATCATTGCGCTCTTCCCGGGCGAGGCAGATCAGTCGCCGGCTTCTGGACGGCCGCTCACGGCGGCTGCTGGCCACTCACGGTAGACCATGACAACCCACTGCCACAGGGGCTGCAGCCTACACCATCGCCAGCGACTCAGGGCAGCCCAGCTCCAGGTTGAGCTGTTGTTCAGCATCTTAGCTGTAGAGGGCAGTGTCACTGGCCCTCACGTGGGATCCGAACCGGGGCCCTCTGGCATCCCAAGCCAGTTCTTAACCAACGCACCACTCAGCTGGCCTGAAAATCTTGTTAATCAACTGTATAGAGTTAACATTATTAGCCAAATTAGGAATGTAAAATGTGTATAATGAAAACACAAGCTTTACTAGATCGACAAGAAGTTACATCTTCTTTGAATGCAGTAGTTGTAACCCAAGTAATAACAAGTGGCTCCAAAGAAATGAAGAACAAGTTTTTAATTTTACCCATGATTCCTTGCACTTGATTTTGTAACCATCATTGATGAAGTATTAAAAACATAGTATGTTATTTGTGGATACACTGGCTAATAAAGCAAATGGAATCATAAGCAGCATTAGCTTAAAAAGAATCTTAAAAGCAAAATAAATCTTTGAAATGGTTGGAAATGTTCAAGTACGTATCACTATACCTCTCAACACATTCAGGACCTGCCTAATATGAAAGAATGACTCACTGAATCTAATAAAACTAATAAAATATTTTTCATGATAATATGATCAAGTAATGGAAGACAGTCTGGTTTGAGAATACTTTTTTATGTAAGATGAGGCAGGGAGTGTTGGTTTCAATACCATGGAATAAGAACATCTGTTTCCCTCGGTCCCTTACTACAATCTGGAAGCAAATAACAATAAGAGGATGGAAGAGGCATTAAACCTCCAACACAAGAGAACAGAGATAACAAAAGATTTTGGAAGCTAAAAATAAATGCATGGGTGGTAATATCATCAACAGGCTGGCGAACTACAAGTTAATAAGATTTAGGATAATTTGACTTACTAGGCAACCAGGTAAAGTAGGCAGTTGGACATGAGTTCAGGAGAAAGATTCTGGCTGGAGATCTAGAGCCATCACCACATATTTGGTACTTAAAGCAATGAGAAAACACCATCAAGGGAGCCCCAAGTCCTACCTGGGACATTCTAATATTTGGGGGTTAAATACATAAGAAATAGCAGAGAAAATTGAGTTAGAGAATTAGGAAAGAAAACCAGGGAAATGTATTTGCTAAAAACCTTGCAAACTAAAGAAATTGTTCAGTAGAGAAGGTTAAACAACTGTATGAAATGCTGCTAAAAAAGTAAAATGATGTCAGAGGTCACTGGAAACCTTAAGAACAGTTCCAATGGAGCAGTGGGGATGAAAACCCAACTGAACTAGGTTCAGGAAAAAAAAAAGGAAGAGCAGAAACAAAACGGTGAATGCAGACTTTTCAAGTATGCCATAAAAAATAAAGTATTAGCTAGGACAGACAGCATACCCACAGTAATAGGAAAGGAGGTTACACAGGCAGTACTAGTAGGCTTATGGAGAATGCAGTGGTGGCAACTTTCAAAAGTTCTTTTCCCATTTTTATTATCTCAGTGCCAACAGGGAGCAAGGTACAACGGGAGTAGGTATTAGAGATGTAAGGACTGAAGTGAACACACCATGCAAGTCATTTGGGAGAATGTAAGACAAAAGACTTAAGAGTCAAAGTTTTAACTACTAAGCAACTAAGGTTACAATGATTAATTAGTAAGCATGACTGTGATTGGTAAACATTTCCACTAAAACAAACAAAAAAACCCGTGCTCTGTAGTTTGTTCTTTTCTTTGAATATTGAAAATAGTTTTTCTTCCAAGTCCTATTTTAGTTATACTACCCGACGGTGGAGATAATCTAACCCACATTTGAATATACACGCCAGCAGAATGACATTTTTCCATGACAAACACCTACACAGAAATGTATGGCTCAGGGAGCATTCAGGATTTCTCTTCCTTGTAGCCTATATACATACAGGGCAAAATGGTTTCCATTTTATTCTCCTCTGTTATGGATTTTGCATTACTTAGGCCTTGTTTTCTCTGGTACTATTTACCTCCCTATTACAATATAAATTTTTAGGGTTTCATCTCGCTTGTTCTATTCTTGTTTTGCATGATATATTGCCACTTCCAGCTTCTGGGATTTTGTCAGTTTCTTCCAGAGCCTTCTTTGCATGAACTCAATATTCAGCTGAAATTTTTATATGACGTGTTTATAGTAATAAATGAAACTAAGTCAGGTAAATAGTAGTGAATCACAATGTCAGTCAAGACTTTTGCTATCATTATTTCACCTAAGCCATTTTTTCTGAACAAATAATTTGATGAAATGATCTTATAATGAACATTTATTTGGTAAACTATTTTATAGAAATAGACTCTAAAAAATTCAAACAATTTCTTACTTAAACAGAAAGCACAATCCCAATCTTTCCCCCATCAAAAGCCTACTCCATAACTGAAGCACCAAAAACCCATGACCTAAACTGATAAAGAGGGAAAATGAGGGGGAGAAGACATTCAACTTCCACAGGAAGACTGTATATATCTGGCAGTGGTTATGTACACGTTAGGCTGTACCCAAGAGTACTACTGAGTATGAAAAATTAACTGCAAGTCTAAACTTAATGTGAATACTTCTTTGTTCTTAATAAGGCTCAGAAAATTACCACCTATTAATTATGCAATGTAACATCATATAATCTGATATAATCGAAAGTAAAGTGGACAATCTGGATTTTAACATCTATATAGGTAAATCTGTAGATGTAAACAAGAATTTTAAAAAGACATTCTTTAACTCCAATTTAAAACAAACATTCAGGACTGGAATCTTCAGAATTTTCTAATATCTTGAAAATCCCCATCTTCTCTTTAATTGGTTCTGAGGCATTCATTTGATCTGAGAGAAAAATATTAAAAGAAGTATTTATTTCTTTTAAAGTTAAGAGCCTAAAGAGGAACCTTAAAGAAGATGTCCAATATGTTATGAGAAATGAGTCATCTGCCAAAAATGTGGGCCCCTTTATTCCCTAATCATTAACAGTTAATATTAGCAAAAGCAATAAAATATACTATTCTGTTATTACAATTATAACTGGCCTCCAAGGAACACACAAACTGAAACATCAGTTTGCTAAATCAAAATAACTTCTGCTGAATTTAAGACACATAGATACAGAGAAATACAGACCTATTTGAATTGTGTTCTCAGAGATGTTTAAAAAAACCCCAAAAACCCAAACATGGTTACTTTAAAAGCTGGGTAACAAGACACCATGAAAATTTATCTTTATATACACTCCCATTTTCAATATGAGACCTTTAATATACTTGACAGCTGTGGAAGAAACTCTCTACTGGTTTTAATTTGCATTTTTCTGAATCCTAGGGAGGTTAAAGCATCTTCATATGTTCGTCAGCCATTTCTTCCTTTCCTCATAATCGCACGCTCATATGTTATCCATTTTGCTTGTTGTTTAGATAACTTCCTATCTATTATGTGTTGCTAATTTTTGTGGTTTGTTCCCTTATCTGTTTATGGTGTTGTCTATTTTTATAGACGTCTTTAAATTATTGTACTAAAACCTACAATTTATTTAGTTTGTGAGTTCTGTTACCTTGTTTAAGGATTCCTTTCTTACCCTAAAGTTGTACATATATTTTTCTATTTTTTTAAGTTTAAGGTTTTGCTTTTAACATTTAGGTTTTGGCTACTTACAGTGTTCGTTTATCTAGAATCTGTTCCTGAGTATAGTATGAGGTTTCCCAGTTGATTACAAATTCTCCCAGCATCATATATTAAACAAGAAGAATTTCCCCTCTCATGTTGGAGAAATGCCATTTCTACCATTTATTGATTTTCCAGGCAAGTTTGGTGGACCACTAATTAATTTCTTATCACATGCTAATTCAACAGTCTTGATTATTATGACTTAATTAAAAAGTCTTAATACCTGGTATAGACTATTTTGTTGTTCTTCAAAATTGTCTTGGATGTTGGTCCTTTACTCTTCCATTAAAATTTAAAAAACAGCCTGTCATAGTTTTTTAAAAAGTCATACTGGGATTTTAATTAGAAGATCAATGTATAGGATGTAAGTTAATTTGGGTAATACTGACTTATTTTTTAATATTAAACATTCATATCTATGAATTTGGTTAAATCTGTACATTTATTTAATCTTTCTGTTAATGTCCTTTAATGTTCCATAATTTTCTCCATAAGGCCTTAAAGGAATTGTTGTTATAGTGTTATAGCTCTTAAGATCTTGTTTTCTAAACAATTATTGCTGATACACAATTAATTTATAAGTAACCTTCTTAAATTCTATTCTAAAAACTTCTCGATTTCCTTGGACTTTGGAGACAATTACACCATCTATAATTGTGAGCCCTTTTTCTTACTATTTTTTCCTTTAGTCTATTTTAATTATTTCATAGCATTAGTTAAAATGTTCATTTACAGTAGGAGTGAGAGCTGTTATCCTTGAATGCTCCTGATTTTAGTAGTAGTTTCCTAGATGGATACATTTTATAAGGTAAGAACATTCTTCTCTGTGTCTAGTTTAAGGATTATTAGGGTGATTATGACATTATATCAAGTGGGTTTTCAGTATCTAGTTCTCCTTTATTTAGTTAATATGAATTAATACTTTCAAATGTTACACTATCCTTTCATACCATTTATACTGCTGATTTTTATTTGATAATGTATTTAAGATTTGACCATAATGTTTTATCGTTTTTTTTACCCTGAACTATATGAATATAAAACACATATAAACATACAAAGAACCAAGAATAGCTAAAACTAATTTGAAAAAGATAAAAATTGAAGGATTCACTCTTCCAAATTTCAAAACTCACCACAAAGCTACAATAATTAAGACAGTGTGGTACTAGCATAACATAAAGATCAATGGGGCAGAATTCAGAGTATAAAAATAAACGGTTACATTTATGATCAATTCATTTTCAACAAAAGTGCCAAGGCAATTCGAAAGGGAAAGAATAATCTTTCAAAAAATGATGCTGGGACAACTGGATAACAACATGCAAAAAAGATGACTAGACCGTTACCTCATAATCTACCCTAAAATTAATTCAAATGTAAGAGCTAAAACTATTACAAGAAAACATCATGACCATGGGTTCGGCAATATCAAATATCAAAATCATGACAATGACATAAAAAAGGTAAACTGGAGCTCATGAAAATTAAAACCTTTTGCCCTTCAAAAGATACTAAGACAGTAGGAAAGATAAACCACAGGCTGGGAGAATATAAAGGACTTGTATCTACAATATGTAAAAAATTCTTTCAATTCACTAGTAAGAAGACAAAAAACAGTCTTAAAGAGATATCTGAAACTTAAACACATGACACTATACCTAGTGGTGTGCTGGTATATGTATAACAATTAGCTTTTCCCAGCCCCCCTAAGGGCTCTGGTTTGTAGTTTTTTTCCTATTTCCATGGTATTAAATATTCCCACAATCATTAATACCAAGATACCAACATACTGCTGAACGTAGAGTTGGGAAAAGCTGGACAGTAGCATACTATTATATAGTATCTCCACCATATAGACACTATACACATAAATAATCAAAAGCACAGATATCCATAATGTTATAAATTAGGAAATGAGTTTTAATGTTTTCAAATTAATTTATGGTCACCACTGTAGGCATCAATTGATTATTCTAAAAATTGATAAAGAAGCAATTCATCCTACCTCACCTGTATAGATTGTTATCTCAGAGTAACCAAAGACTTGATCAGGAAAAGTTCTTATAAATAAATTCTAGCCAATAAAGGAATGGTAGAACAAGAAAATCACCATTTTCTAATCCTTTAGGAAATCATGGTTGAAAACAATCATCATAAACGGATGGTTTCGGGCCAGCCTAGTGGCTCAGTTAGTTAAGAGCTCACTCAAGAGTGCAAGCTCTGAGCAACATCGGTTTGATGCCCGGCCCGAGCTGAGCTGCCAACAGGCGGCAGGATGGCTCAGCTTAAAATAAAATAAAATAAAATAAAATAAACGGATGGTTTCATCAGGTTGAATAAATAAAAGATTGACAGGAAACTATAATATTAAGATTAGCCTGAATCTGCTGGTCAATCTTAGCTAAATAAAACAAAAAAACAAAAAACAACGCAGAGATTATGTACCTTTCTGGTATGATTTAAAATATGAGAACAAAGCACTGGTATTCCTAAGACATGGAACTTGGATGTATTTAAGACTATAAAGCTATTTACTTCACAGAAAATAAGTTGACTGAGGAAAAAGTCTAAGGACAACATAAGGGGGTGGGAGGAAAAGAAAAAAATCAGCCCATTCCAGAATATAAAAGTCTTTTTATAGGACACATAACAGGTTTCTCCATCCAGTAGATCAGTGGGATGAAAAAACAAGTGAGGAGGGTTTTGTGCCGGTCGAGTGGCTCAATTGATTAAGTTGGCTTAAGAGTGGGAGCTCTGAGCAACAGGGCCGCAGGTTCGATTCCTACCTGGGCCAGTGACGCTGTGCCTGAGCTGAGCTGCCAACAGGTGGCAGGATGGCTCAGCTGGCGTAAAAACAAGATTGCCTGTTCAATTCAATGGTGGGCTTTGCCCACCCGCAACTAAGACTGAAGTCGGCACCTTGAGCTGAGCTGCCACCCGGATGGTTCAGTGGATAGAGCATGTGTTCTTAACAACAAGGCTGCCAGGTTGGACTCCTGCATGGGATGGTGGCTACGCCCACCCGCAACTAAGATTGAACACAGCACCTTGAACTTAAGAGGCCACAAGCTGCCGACGGACAGCCAGATGGCAACTGGCACCCTCTACAAATGAAGATTGAAGAACAGCAACTTGGCTAGTCCCCTCCCCAATTCCCCAATAAAATCTTAAAAAAATAAATAAAGTGAGGAGGGTTTTACTGAAGAAAAGGGACATAACCATCAATGAAATTTGGATCCTGATTCAAACTATAAAATGATTCAGACAAGTAGGAAAATCTGGATATGGATTGGGTATTAGTACCAATTCTCTTAAATGTAACAGTGACATAGTGGCTATGTTTGAAAACATGTTCTTGGTAAAAGATGCATGAAAAAGTCATGGGTAAAATGTCATAATTTTAAGATTCTGACAAAACAGAATGGCAATGAAACAAGACTGGCTAAATGCTGTAAACTACGGTGGCTGAATGAATTACACATAGGGGTGACATTATACTCTTCTTTCTACTTATTTGATGTTTCCGTAAACAAAAAATAAATAAATAAAAGCATGAGAGATACTTACCAATGAGATCACTTCGATCTAACAACAACTCTAAATCTGCATCACTAATGACCTTCTCTCTTGATCCTTTTACTTCCCTATAGAAAACAAAAGATTCAGGTCTATATGATAAATCAAAAGCATGTATTATATTTTTCTAAAATTAAAAACAACAACAACTTACCTTTCATAATCTCTAGATTTTAATAATTCCATTAATTCTTTAGGGTCTAAGAAGTTCTTAGATGGATTTAGTCCAGATTTACCACCTTTGAAATGATCTAGAGAAAATTTCCAAGAAATTCAACATTCAAAATTACTTTTAAAACCAAAATACATTACAAACCAGTCAGAATTTCTTACATTAAAAAGGACAGATAAAATCAAGTGTTGTTGAAGAAGAAAAGCAATCAAAACTCTCACACATTGCTGATAACAGTGTTAAATGGTATGTCCACTTGGGAAAAGTTTGGTAGTTTCCTACAGGTAAACATATGCATATCCTAAGGCCCAAACAAATAAATGCATATGTCTACAAACACCTATAGAAGATTCACAATCTGGAAACAATTCAAACATTAAACAACAGAAGAATGGATAAACAAAGTATTCAGCAATTATTAAAAAAACAACAAACTTCTAATACATACAACATAGATGAATCTCAAATTATGCTGAACACAAGTAGACAAAAAAATACATATAAATGAATCCATGTATGAAGTTAAAATAAAAACTATGACAGAAATCAGTATAGTAGTTGCCTTCTAGTGAGGGAAATGACTGGAAGAAATGCATGAGGAAACCTTGGATGATGAAAATGTCTGTTACTTTATCTAGAGGACTGTTAACATGAGTGTATATGTATGTATGTCAAAACACATCAAGTTATACACTTAAAATCTGGCTATTTTATTGTATGTATTTTATACCTTGATAAAACACTGTCAATATTTTTAAAATTCCTTTCAAATTGTTCTTTAAAATTTTAATCTTTCAAAATACTGAAAACAGAACTTGGAAAAATGAAACTATAAACTTAATTTAACTATAGTCAATGAACAAAATATACTTCCATCAAATTACTAAAGCAGCACACATAAAATTTTTTTTTAATTTGCACAAAATCTTATCAGGATAAAATTCTTTCTTACTCCAAAAGCAATATATCTAACTACAATCTGAATGTTCCATTAAGTCAAATTAAAGATGTCCAAAACCTAGTCCACATTTCCCTCAAAACCAGATACACTGAAGAAAGTACAGGAGGTCCTCGAATAACATCATTTTGTTTATAACACTGATGACATGCCATAGGAATTTAACTCTTGTTTATAGCAATTAGCCTACGGTAAAACTGGTTTTGTTATATATAAGTCACTTTGCTTAAAGTCGCAGAACTTATCAACAACTCTAAGTTAGGACTTAATGTATTTACAAGTAGAAAAGTAACATAAATTGATGGTGATTTTCAACATTAAGATATTCTCATTTCTCTATGCTTCACAACTTACATAGATGATTTTCAACCTTTCTGAAGGTAGCCATCAAGTTATTTATCTAAATATAATTTTATATTAAATGAAAAAGAGTAGATCTTCTCCAAGGAATCTCAGGGAGCACAACATAAAATGCCCAAGCCTCATATACTTCTCTTTCCCTACTCAGAATCTTTTCTAGATTAAAAAATGCTGTATTTTACAAAATACTATGATTGAAAGTATGAAAAGGGCATTCTGAAGTAAAATATTTTTTGAAAGTTGTTCAAAACAAAGTAAATACAGGTAATTTTTTTATAGCATTACTTCAATACACCTTTAACAATGTACTATTTTAATAAAATGAGCTTGCAAGAAAAGCCTTGTAAGTTTTCTTAAATCTTTTTGACAGGCAAATCTCTTATCAATAATAAACCTTAACATTATGAAAAACCTTGTGACATATTTAGGATACGATACTTTAAAATTATCTGTGATACTTTTCTCTGTTCCTCATCTAGACACGCACTAATGTTCTTCTTAAGTATATGGTCACCAACTTAGGTCTTTACAGCTCCGAATTTCCCACTGCCTATTTATTAAATCCTGCACTAATCAAGCTGCACTGATTTCTTTTATAAAGAAAATAACATAACAAAAATTCACAACACATAATATACAACTGAGGCAAAAAAGTACTGGAATTTACTTTTGTGGATGATCAACTTTTCCAGTTTTCTTTTAGCAGCTGCTCTTTCCACAATTTTCTGATCAATAGTGTTTGCTGTAACAAGACGATACACAACAACTGGCTTTGTCTGACCAATTCTGTGACATCTATCTTGGGCCTGAAGATCAGACTGGGGATTCTTAAAGTTAAAAAAAATAATAATATTTAACAATATAAGGTTAAAATGATTTAAACTCATACTATGTGGGTAAAGTCAACATCATGGTCAAATTAAAAACTTTTAACAGCCTTAATGCAATTTATAGACTAGTTCTAGAGTGACTATATTTATTTATTTATTTTAAGTGGAGCCATCCTGCCACCTGTTGGCAGCTCAGCTCAGGCCGGGCATCGAACCGCTGTAGCTCAGAGCTCAAACTCTTGAGCGAGCTCTTAACCAACTGAGCCCCTCGGCCGGCCCTAGAGTGACTTTATTGATAGATCATGTTCAAGTCTTAGCACACAGAACACGTGATCAATGATTTTTACTTAAAATGGATATCTTTTCAAAACAGATAAATTAAATTGTAAAGTGTATAATGAAAGATTAAAAATTCAGGAATGGAAAGACAGTGAACATACTGCTATACTTGCAACTTACCCAATCACTATCATAAATGATAACTGTATCTGCTGCAGTCAAATTAATGCCCAGGCCACCAGCTCGTGTACTCACTAAGAAGATAAACACATCTGGATTTGTGTTGAAGTTGTGCATCTAAAAGCAAAAAGGACATGAACACAGGAATTAAGAAACAAACTGTTCCTGCCTGGAATGTGGATATGGTGCTACATGTGGAGCAGCCATCTTATACTCAGGAAAGCAAGGGGGTGGGCAGTGGTGTGCCAAGGTTTATAAACACAACAAGCCAGCATTCTTCAATCTGGGTATGAGTTCTTCAACATCCACAGGTCTTTTAATGTGGAGTAAATAAATACTGAAAACACCAGAAGCCATAAAAGTTTAAAAAGACCAATTTTCTGGAAAGAGAAAATTGCCCAAGACTCACCTCCCATGAAACAAAAAAAATCAAAAGCAAATCCCACTGCCGAGGTTGTGACAAAAAAACCTGGGGCCCTGGGACATGCTCTATCAATTTGACCTTCAAAAGCTTGAGACTGAACAGTGCAGACCAGTCACACAGGGGCTCCATGCCTACTTGACTGACCCTCAATAAAAACCCTGGATACCAAGCCTTAGCCATGTTTGAGTTTCCCTGGTTTACTTCACATGTGTTGTTAAAAACTGTTGCTGGGAGAATTAAGTCCTGTTTGTGTAACTCCACTAGAAAGCTCACATCTAGTTTCTCCTGGACTGCACCTATGCAAGTTTTCTCTTCACTGATTTTAACCTGTATTTTTCACTATGATAAACCATAACAGAGAGCAAGAGAAAGAAGCTTTAACCAAAAATACTGAGGAGAGAAATTATTTTTAATTACAACTATTAAAGACATAATCCAAGGGAAGCCAAATCAATCATTCAGATCTACACAAAAATTCAATAAAACATATGCTCATGTTAACTTATTTTCTAAGCATCTCTTTTATTGAGATGTTAATTTTGTCAAAACACACACACACACACACACACACACACATCACAAGGGAGGCTTACAGGAGATGTAATATTAGAAAAACATATTAGAAAATAGAAAAATATTAGGAAAAAAGTCTAGGTCATCCTCCCTCAAAAATTGGTGACAAAAAAAGTGTTTGGCTAGGAGACGGGGAAGGCAGGAAAGGTGGGTTACTCAGAGGGGGCATGATGGACCTTTCTGAACTGATAGTAATGTTCTATACCTTGACAGGAGCTTGGGTCACACATACATAGTCATTCATCAAAACTCAGGAAATGTATCCTTTATTTTATTGCCTTCAAAATATGTACATACTACCTACATAAGAGATAAAATATGCTGAAGTAATTAGAAAGGAGTATCACCTGTAATTTATTTTGAAATATACCAAAAAAGAATGGAATGTTGAATGAATTGCTGCTGTATCACAGGTATGTGATAAAAGAAAGGAATAAAGTTTTAATGACAGGTTCTAGGTGGATTCACAGGTGGCTACTGTAAAATTCTTTCAACTGCTATTATTGAAAATTTCACAGTAAAATGTTGGGAATAGAGGACAGAGCCAAAAAGGAGAAAAAAATCCTGTTATCCTAATATAGTTACAGTGGTGGCTAAGCAGAGTATTATTAAGTGAGGTGGTGCCAGGAGATGTATTATATAATTTGAGAAACACTAAGACTAAATCAAAATGCTTTTTTTGGATCCTGCTGTAGTGATTTTGGTCTTTTGTATCTATCAATTTGTGGGTCTATTTTGAATATTACTTCAGAAATCAAGATAGTAGTTACAAAAAAGAACTTGGTATGTATGAAATAGCCTTACATTCTTCTCTCTCTCTGAGTAAGACATGGACCCATCAAGTCTGCTAAAGTTGAAATTTCTAAAGTGGCAGTAGTCCATCAAAATGTCCAACATTCTTGTCATTTGTGAAAAGAGCAGCACCTGAAATTTAAATATATCTTAGTATTTATACCGATTAATAAATAATAATTAAACAATAAAAAATCCATCCTAAAGTACCACCTTGTGACCTCTGGTTTTTAGTTCTGGCAGCATTCGATCCAAAATTAAGAATTTCCCAGAATTTGTTACCAAGTGTTCATCAACCTTAAAATTGGGCAAGAAAAGAAAAAACAGAAAAAGTCATGATAATCACTAATAATTTGGTTTTTTCAAAATAAAAACCAAGTGAACAGTTCAATCTTCAATGACAAATGAGTCGTTATAAAACTGAAAACTTTAAAAGTTGACCTTGTTATTTGTGTATTTGACCATTTTTATCACAAGATAATTCTTCCTCTAAGAAAGATACTTTAGAATTTAAAACCCACAATCTCACAAAAACAAATTTCAGTTTAAGTATAACCTTGATCTATCCTCCCCACACTTCTCCCAAAGCTTTGTATGAGAACAATAAGGTCAAACTTACTATATCTATGTTGAGGTTTATTCTTTATAGCTGAGTATACTTTCAACAAAATATGCATGAAAATTACTACTAGAATTCCAGTAGAAATAAAAAATAAAAAAATAGATGCTTATAAGCAACCTAGTACTGAAGGTTAAGAAAATTTTAACCTTCTGGTAAATATAAACTACCTTGTCAGAGATTATCTTCTTCCTTACTTAAATGAAAAACTGTAAAGCAGTGGTTCTCAAATATGGGCCATTCTGCCCTCCAACCACCAGGGTATATTTGGCAGTGTCTGGAGACACTTTAGGTTGTCACAGCTGGGTGAGAAAAATTCTACCGCCATCTATTGGCCAGAAGCCAGGGATGCTGCTAAATGACTTACAGTCCACAGGGCAGCATCTTTTAAACAAAGAATTATACCAGCCCCAAAATAATGTTTCCAGGGATAAGAAACTGTGCTGCAAACTAGTATGAAATAGGGTTATTGAGAATTACTAAGAACTGATTTCTTTTAATACTGTGCTATTTTTCCATCAACTGACCAAGAAAGCAATTTCATTTTATCTGAAAGCCTGCAACTCATTATCAACTTTTTGCTTCTCTGCTGTGGCTATTTGCTGAGATTTAAACAATGAGCAGCCAGATTGATTTTGATAAGGTGAAAACTAACTAAAAAGGGAATACTAAAAAGTTTGACAACTAAAGGTTTCTCTAAAATAGACAGCAAGTAAAACAGAGTAGAAAGCAACTGCATTACTAAAAAACATATTTCCAATACTTCCAATGCGAAAAAAGATAATTTCTCCCAACATGAAAAGGCACAGAAATTAAAACAGTGTATTATTAAATGGTATTTACCTTAAACTCTTGTGTGACCGGGTCTATAGGGTACTCAATCAAATATGGATGATTGCAGCATTTACGAAGTAGCATCATTATATTCTGCAGCTTCAGATTAACTTCAGATTCTACAGGAATATTCACTTCCACAATAGCTCTACCAAAAAACATATAATCCATGAAAATGAGAAGTTTGAAAAAAACCCCACAGTTTAAAGGATATTTTATTTTTAAACTCACACCTTTCTCGGTCTAGCTCTGGCTGAATTTGACTGATCAATTTTTCCAACTCATTAGGGAAATCATCTGCTTCGCTATAATTTATTAACTTTCTTGTTCGCCGTTTTGGTCGTCCAGTGGAACTTAGCTCAACTGTTTCTTTCTGAAAGAGAACAAATTAAAGGAATATCTGTTTAAAAAGTTACACCCTTAATTTGTAAATATATAAAGTGGGGTATAATATTTTTATGTCTAAAATGTTTTCAGATAAATAGAAAGAACCAATTTTGTCTTTCATTATCAGGTTTAGTAATTTCCAAAGTCACAAAATCAAGGACCCACAATCTATAGCCAAATGCCATCATATGAAATTTAGTTGTTTCAACACTGATGACAGTACCTGAGAATTAAGAGTAAATGTTTTCATATTTCAGAGGAAAAAATTAGGGATGGATAAAACCATTTTCAACTTATCTAAAGAGATTTAATAGCTTAGAGCTAAAACAAGGCTCCACATATCTGAAATACAGATCCAGTATCTGGATTTATATAAGACTGCAAAGTAATTCCTCACAATATGCAACTACTGTTAAGTTTCTAATAGCTAAAAAACTAGATCTTCCCTTTAATTATAACAAAAATGAGAGAACAGAGTCTAATGGTTGTACAGAAGATAGATGCAAAACCATAAGTATTTTGAAAAAAAAAACACCATAGGGTCAATGGCATATAGTAAAAAATCTAGACATTTAAACAAAATTTAAGGATCTCCTGATCTTCAGGTATAAGATAATCGTATTTCACTTCAATCTTTGTAATATGGTAGGTGACTAAAGATATTTCTTTCAAATGTTCTATTAAGGTTTGGGGCTGTCAATAACATCCTGTAAAGGAGTTGTATATGTGAGACTGGTCTAGTTGGCAAGCCCTTACTATATTGTGAACTTGTTCAAATGTATGTCCAAGTCCATCTCCAGAAAGCATGATTAGGTTAATCTGGCGCACGAATCAAAATTCTTCACAAGCATTCCAGATGACTATAAAGCAATAAATGCATGAGCCATCACTTAAATTTTGGTAGGACCACAGTATTACTAGGAGACAACTTTTGCTACTAGCCTTATACTTTTTATTCCAGTTAGAAATTCATCCTCTTAAGTCCTGAGAACAGGTGATGAGCCCTAAGACTGAAAAATCAACAATGGAATTTCTATGCCAATGGTCATTTACAGTGTATTTCAAATCCAAACTCTACCTCACTGGATCCAAACATGTTTGCAATTGTACGGTTCACAATGGCTGTATAAAAGGTCTCTTGTTTCTTTGAAAGTGGTGCATAAACGACTACTTCTCGTTTAGGAGGAACTTCAAGAGCAACATCAGATTTTAGTCTTCTCAGTAGGAAAGGTGTTAGAATCTAAAATTTAAACATGAATAAACATGTGTGAATATTAAACATTCCTATGTTTTTAGGGAATACTATCTCCCCAGCCCCCTGTACCCCTTTCTTTTCTTTCTATATAAAGACTCAAAAGGTAGGATAAGGGCCAGCCGAGTGGCTCAGTTGGTTAAGAGTGTGAGCTCAGAGCAACAGGGTTGCCAGTTTGATTCCCACATGGGCCAGCGAGCTGCGCCCGAGCTGAGCTGCCAACAGGTAGCAGGATGGCTCAGCTGGTAAGAGCACATGCTCCTAACAACAAGGTTTCTGGTATGACTCCTGCATGGGATGGTGGGTTACGCAAAATTTCAAAAAGCACTTGAGTTCTGCTGTAAAGCCATGTGAACTGTGGGGGTAGGGAAATAAGTTAAATTTAACAGGACCCTTATTTTTCAAAATCTATTATAGAGCTGAAGAGTTGATCTCTAGGGTTCCTTTTTTATTTTGAATCCACAGTAAGCAGAGTAAAAAGTCCAAACCTGGTGTAGCATATGTAATACATTCTGTTCTCTTTCTTTAGCAATAATATCTTCAGCAGTTTCAGAAAGATCAGTGATATCAAACCAAGATTCAAAGCTGTAAGAGCAATGATTACTAGTTAACCTATCACATAAATTATATTAACGTGTTTTACGTTTTACATTTTATATTACAGTAACCTGAGCATTAAGAGGCAGGTATTTTCTTAAAGGGGACTTTTATCCCCCTGATTTATACAGTAACATAATCTTATAATAGTATGAAAATCAAGTAATCATTATGGTATATATATTTTTTTCTCTTTTGTTTAGGCAGACTGCCACATGCAGCACCTCATTTGGAGGTGTCTGGAGTCTTGGAAGCTTGAGTACCCTAGGTTTTCTTACACATGGACCTCTAGAGCTTGTTTGGAGATTCTAGCAGGGGAGTGCAGCTCCCCATATATACCCTTAACTGAAAAACAATCCTCCTCTATCAGGGGAGGTCATATTCTTCCTCTACAATCTGGTGTGCACCTTCAGGAGGGATGCACATGGAGCTGGGAGGGGGGAAGGAGGCATCTGCTTAACCAGCCAGGTAAGCCAAATGAACCCTGGTGATCAATGTGGTCTGACAGATGTCAGTGAGATTGCCCTTGTATCCTAAGGTACACAATTTATTAAACATTTTAATAAAGTGAATAGAAATGAAAACTATCTCTAAAAACCAAGGCGGTATGATCTTTCTTTAGGTGTAACCGTGACCTGCTACAGCCAGTGTTTTAAAAATTCAAAATATATATATCTTGATAATGATATCTACTAGATATTTCTAGTTCTTCACAATGTAAAATAAAACTATTAAAGTGAGTAAATAAATATAAGCATGCTTTATAGTCTAATCACTATATTGTCGGTAGATCCAATTGGGAAAAATGCTAACAACATTTACGCAGTAGATGAGATATTCCCAAACTTTGATCACCTGAAGCACATTTTATACATTCAGATTCCCAGCTTCTACCTTCCTGTTCTAAATCAGTAGGAATGTATATGACCTGGAAATGTTTTCCTTAATAAATGTTTCCTAATGACAATAAGAGAGCCTGGCTTTAGGCCAACATTTGGTAACTAGAAGTAGAATATACTCTCAAAATAAAACATTCAAGTTTTTTTTTCTGTATTAAACTAACTTTCTTCCTTAACTGTAAACCAATTATTTTGTCCTCCTGATTTTGATATTCCATCTTAATTATTTTAAACTTCTATTAAGATTATCTTCTCTTCTATTCTGAGCATTCTAATCGTTTTCTACAAACTTTAAAAAATTTTTTTTTTATTTTCATACTATAAGTTAAGATTTAAACAGTTTCTAGAATAAAAAGCACTATGTTTAAATTAGGAGATTTGGGGTTTATTTTGGTTCTGGCATTAACCAGTTTTATTTTAATAACTTTATACCTGGGTTTTCTTATATGTCAGAAAGGTACTAAAGTAACCTTTATCCCCTAGGTTGTTTTATGAAGATAAAATGAGAAAAATCCATGTGAAAGTTTCACAAAGTTAACACAATAAAAAGCCCTATAAAACTATTTTAATATTTTGACAAAATGCTTTAATTGTTCTCAATTAAATAATTGTTGTTTTCCTTTAATTAATCAATGCAAATAAAAACTTTTAATACTTATTTGCTCTCACATAGTTTGTGTCAAGAGTGGAACATATAGGGGAAAAGGGAATTGTGAAAGGTGATTAAAAGGTACTAATTTCCAGTTTATAAGTACTAGGAATGTAATATACAATATGATGACTACAGTTAACACTGATGTATGATATATAGGAAAGCTAATAACAGAGTAGATCCTAAGAATTCTCATCACAAGAATTTTTTCCCTTTTACTGCATCTATGATGACAGATGTTAACTAAACCTATTCTGGTAATCATTTCACAATATATGCAAATCGAACTACCATGCTGTACACCTTTCAACTTACAGTGATGTATGTCCATTATTTTAGAGTAAAATATATACCACAAAAAACTTGCCAAAAAGCTATCATTTTATTCCAGCTATCTAAAAGAAAAGAATTAATTTTCACTAAGAATGCAAATTTTGAGAAGGTTAGGAAAACATAAGAGTTAAATAACTGGCTCACCTACCTTTTCAAGTCATCAAATACATCTGGCAACAAAAAGTTTAGCAATGACCAAAGTTCTGATAAATTGTTTTGCAAGGGAGTCCCAGTCAAAAGAAGTTTGTTATCTGCATTGAATCGTTTTAACTCCCTGATTAGACGGCACTTCATGTTCTTAATCCTGTGTCCTTCATCTACTATTAAGTATTTCCAAAAGCAATGCTAGAAAAGGAATTTAGGGAAAAATTTAAAATGATACACCATTTTTCCTAAAAATTTCTGAAAATAAAATCTGTATTAGGGATGTTCAATTTTATCAAATGGCATTTCTATCTATTGAGATGATGTTTTCCTTTGATATACTAAAAGGATAGATGCATTTCCCAAAACTGATGTGTTCCTGAAACAGACCTCACTTGGCCATGAATAATTAAAGTCCACTTGCTATTATGTATTTAAGATTCTCCACTCACATTCTTTAGTCAGTCTGTAGTTCTTTCTTTCTAATGCATAGTCAAGTTTTGATCAGCGATATACTTTGGATAACTAAAAAAGAACTGAAAGCTTTTATTAGTTCCATGTGCTCTGAAAAATTAAATAGCATTAGAATTTTCTTTTTTTTCTTTTCTTTTCTAAATTGGTTATTACTGGGCCTGTGTTGTGGATATTGATCAAGACCCCTGGAGAGCCACTGATAGTAAAGAGCTTGCACTTCTGTGGGGAGCATCCACTGAGATCCAAGCAGATTTCTGTTTCAGAACACAAAGGACATACATGTTCAGGGCTGTCCAGGGACAGGTGCATGATGCTTTTAAAGGACATGGCACAGCCCTGTAAAAGCTGACCACCCTCATCCAACACGACAGCCTCAGAATTTTCATTCTTGATGCCTGTACCTGAGGTTGATACTTTTAACCTGCTAGTGTTCTCACTTTCTTGCATAGTTATTTGTTTGTTAGGTTTTCCCTTTCTTCTGGAGACAATTTTAGTAATTTCTATCTTCGCAGAAAGCCATCCATTCACTTCCATTAGGTTGTCATGAGAATTGTTTCAGTTGCTCATTTTTAATATCGGTCTTCACTTTTATCTTGACCAGGCAAACTTAATTTTAGTTTGCAAAAATACAGAAATATGCAATATTTCTGGGGAATACAAAACCAAAACTGGCAAGTGTAGATATGCTTGGATAATAGGATTAGCAAATTGAGGAAAGAGTATAAAATGGGGCATCTTTTGTATCTTACTTTATACTTTCATACCAGAATAAAACAATAAAAATGTTTAGATTATGACTTCTTTAGTAAAAATAACTTGAAACTTCTTTTTCTGTTAATATGGCAAACCAGGTAACCTGAATAATCTCTCGCTGTAAGACATCTACCTTAAAAAGTCAAACAAAATATAAAGCATCCTTTATAAAGAGGCAAAAGAAAAGAAAAAACCCAATACAATGGAAATGATAAGGTATTTGAAAAATAAATTAGTGAACTTGGATACTTCTGCTACTACTCAGGACTAGGAGCCTGCAACACAGTGCCATTAACTCCTCTAAAAATCGAATCCTTGAATAACAGTATAAGCTCAGTAAAAGGGAAAATTACAAAAATTCTAGCCACTGGCAAATAAAATTGACAAGGAAGACTATCTGTTTCAATGTGGGCTGGTTCGGCAGAGCAAAATAATTAGAAAGGTCTTCATGTTGTACTATTTACTTTAAAATAGGAGTTCCAAGAAAAAATGTATAATATTATCCTATGTATAAAATTATACCTCTATATTAACAAGTTATTTAATAAAGCAGTAGTAATTCTCAGAGAGCTAAGTCTTTCTGTATGCTTTTTTCTATAAACAGTATATATCACTCTTACTGTGAAAAAATAACATAACTGCAAATCATATTCCAAAGTTCCACCAGCACACAGGTAAAATTTGATATACTGGTAAGAGAAAGGAAAAACAAAGCAGTAAAGAACTATGTATAAAATAGGTAGAAACGGAAGATGTTCAAACACCGAAACATGGATCAGGCAATGAGAGAAGGTCAGTTTTCCCACTGTGTTATACTAACTTGGGCACTAATAAATAAGTAGCTATAATACAAAGAAAAAACAGTTATGAAAATGTTATGCCACAGCTCCATAAGTAACATAGTCTAAAAAAAGTTTGTCTTTATATATTCTATTCTTGATTAAAATTAAATGGCTAAGTTCTATGTACTTAAACCACATGTCAGAGACACTATATGTATTCAGATTAGGTCTACATCTGGCTGATTCTAACACATTTAAAATGATATTATGGCTATAGGTTAAAGTGCCATAGGATTTAATTTTCTTTTTAGAGACTACAACCTTCATCTCAATCTTTCTGTTAAAATAAACCTCTAGTTTACAAGGGAATGTGCACAATACAACCTATTACTTCCATCATGAAAAAAAAAATTAAAGAAATGCTACTGAATGGTGACAAAGTGTTATAAAGAAAATTGTGATTTATGGATTACGAAGAATCCGATGAAGACAGACCATTCATACCTGTAATGCATTTCGGTCTCTCATGGCTATTTCAAATGAAGTGATTACCACAGGATGAATCTGTAGTGTCCCTTTCCGTTTGTGAATATTCTTTACCAGTTTTTGACGCTCCTGCTGGGTCCCATGATATAACATAGTGGGAATCTAAAAGATTTTATATTAATTTTAACAAATTTTAAGACAAAATTTATCATAAATTTGGAAAATATAAAATTAATCATTTCGGAAAAAAGATGATTTAATTAAATCTTAGTTCTATTTTTCTGTAACAAAATGAGTCAATCAATTCTAATAAATTCTTATTGGATTACTGTGGGAGAATAAAAAAAGCCATTAGAACAAATCAAGTATAAGGTGAGGCAGATGGCAAAGCAACTTCTAAATCATATACTTCTCTTAAGGTAAGGATATGGCCAAGACAACAGACTGTGGAAGAAAAACACAATAAGAATAAATAGAATTAAAGAATAAATTCTACCTAGCTCTGTCTCAGGTAAATCAAATTATCCAATACACTGAAAATCATCCAGGGATATTTTTGGCTAAATTACTAATACCTATTCTTCTTTATAAACGTAAAGTCGGTATTGTTGAGTGAAAGGCAAATCACATAAGATGTAGTGTTTACACAGAAATCAACATACTTATACTAAGATCTACAATTGAATTCAGACAACAAAATAGACTATTTGAAATGATATATACTTAACAAAAGGAAACACGCCTTACTTCTGGTGTGAATCTTTGGAATTCAGCCATCCAGTTAGGAAGTGTAGACAAAGGCCCACAGACAAGGAAAGGTCCAGGTACTCCTCTCTGAATCATCAATGCAATTGTGGCAATGCACTGAACTGTCTTTCCCAATCCCATTTCATCTGCTAAAATGCCATTAATTCCATTTTCCCAAAGCATCTGGACAAAATAATATACACTGTATTTAAATTCTAATATAAATGCCTATTGAATTAGCAACTGTTTACGGTATTTTTACCCAAGATAATTATGAGACTGACATGTTTACACTTTAAGTTATAACAACACTTGTGGGAAGTCAGTTATCAAGCCATAAAAGTGTTGGTAGCCTTAAATAAGATAATTTTCATTTTAAAAAATTTACTCTGGGTAAATAAACCAGAAAATAGGTTATTTACACATGAATATTTTACATATAACAGTGAAACATGGAACAACTCAAGTTGTGTTACATTACATTAATAAGTTATTACACAGAAATTAACTCCTATCTTGTATTAAAATTGAGACTTCATTACCCTAAGCCATTCCATGCCTTCTATTTGGTACCATCGCATCACTCCTCCTGTAAAATGTTTTGGTTGCTGAAAGGGTACCGGCTGTCCATTGTATTTCCGAACTGGGTCAAAGAAGAATTTAGTATTCTGCCTCACCGTTTGTGACAACCTATCTTTAATTATACTATTTGAGTCTTTGTTTTTCTCAAGATTTTCTACACAGAGATTAGAAGAGGAGCTTTCATCCTATAAAGAAAAAAGTTTAATTAGAAGTTTGATACATAATGCTGGTACCCTCTACTTACCAGAAAATGTAAGTACAGTACTATCAAAATTTACCCAGTCTTATAATCATTAGGTATGAAGAAATAAAACCTTGTTGAATAAAACCTGAGACTGTACCTTCATTCCCTGCAAATGCAGTCATTGAGGGAAAAAAATTCTGCAAGTAACCCTTAGAGATTATAGGCACACACCTCTGAAATTACTCTACAATTGTATCTCCCTTCCAAAACGCTAGAAAATGCTACCCAAGAATTTACTAAACTACTTTCTTAACAATTTCCTTCACCCACAGCAGCTATAATGGATAACGTCTGTAAAAAAAATACAACCAATAAACAGTTATAAAATATTTGTTTTGTACCCAGCAAGAGCTGTGTGACGTTATTAGACTGTAAATTCCGAAATGAGCACAACTTTATCTGTTATATTGTAAGTGTATCCCTTAATACTTATAACAAAGTTGGTGACCTCCACAACTCCATTGTAAGAATGTGAAAATGAGGGCCGGCCGAGTGGCGCAATGGTTAAGAGCTGGCTTGGGACGCCAGAGGGCCCCGGTTCGGATCCCACATATGAGGGCCAGTGACATTGCCCTCTACAGCTAAGATGATGAACAACATCTCGACCTGGAGCTGGGCTGCAGTGAGTTGCCGGCGACGGCGTAGGCTGCAGCCCGTGGCAGTGGGTTGCCATGGGCTACCATGTGTAGCCAGCAGCCAGCGTGAGCGGCCAGCAGCCGCAGTGAGCGGCCATCCAGAAACCGGCAACCGATCTGCCTCGCCTGGGAAGAGCGCAATGATGGTGCCAGCTTGGGCCAGTGAAGCAACATCCTCTGAAGAACAAAAAACAGCAACTTGTCTGTTCCCCTTCCTCCAATTCCCCAATAAAAATCTTAAAAAAAAAAAAAAAAGAATGTGAAAATGAGGATGAAGTCAATTCAAAAGAAAAGTCTTATAAATGATAAGTTTTTACAATGATGCCACAAGCGGATATTCAACTGGAAAAGTGAATGGGTACTTTTCTTAAAGGCTAAGAAATAGTATACTAGTGAGAAAAGAAGTATAGTAGTGATTAAAAGAAAGGGGGGGGGTAATGATCATGGAAGCAAATATAACTCTTAAATTTAGTATCTATTATAAATCTTAACTTACCTCATTCTCCTTTTTTTTTTTAGCCACAGACAAAATTTCCTAGAACATTGAGAAAACCAAAAAAAATAACAATGTATGTGGTTCGTTCATTCAACAAATACTCATTGTTCTGATTTTATGGGAGGAAATGGGGCCCTCAAGGTAATTAAAATAGGACTCAAATTGGTGTACCTCAGGCAAAATTAAGTTTATATAGTGTCTTATAAAATTCTGAATTAGTTAGCAACACATAAAAATTATGGTATTTACACCTGAATTTTCCTTTTTTTCTTAATCAGCTTATCTGAATAGACTACGTCCAAATTCACATATGGCCGATAATCCTCTAGTATAGAGGCTGGCAAACTATATCCTGTGGACTAACTCCCTGTTTTTATAAATAAGGTTTAATTAGAACAAAGTCAGGCTTATTTGTTTAGTTTGTCCATGCCTGCTTTTGGGCTACAACGGTCAAATTCGGGGTTGAGTAGTTAACCCACAAAAGTATGCAAAGCGAAAAACATTTACCATTTTAGCCCTTTACAGAAAATGTTTTCCAAACTCTGCTCTAGAACCAAATTGTGGCTACTCTTGTTACTCAAGAATTGACTTCCAAAAGTATTATTGTCTCAATTGCAGCCCACTTTAGGCCTCTGTAGATAGACATCTGAGTTTGTAGTCATGAGCACAGAGGTAAACACAAATTATTTAAAAGCCCAGAATAAGTGTTCTGATTGTGAAGTTCCTACTAGATGCTAAGGGCATGAAGAACAAGCAATACCTGAGTGTCTGTCACCTGATGACTTAGGAAGAGTATTATGTTATATAGAATTATCTGAAAAAACTTCTCACCAGAGCATTACATTAAAGATAGGGTGCATTTCAAGAGGAGTAAATATCATAGAGACAAAGGGAATGAAACAGTATGATAAATTCAAGACTGTTGAAGCATATCTCAAATTTAAGATGACAGGACACGTCAGCAAGTGGCTGGCACCTAAATCGATATGTACGTGTGTGTTGTGTTTGTAAAATATTATTTAAGTATAGATATTCATATTCTAAAGCTGAAGTGATTTTATATAGGAAACAGATAGAGATGTCTTTTAAAATGACTAGATAAGCTAAACTTGTAGAGAACAATTTGTGAATGAAACAAAACAAACTCAATACCATTTATGAAGTATTCTTGCAAAAATTAAACCTCATTACAGTCCTGACTGCTTACCTCTACAGCTTCATTCAATAACCTTTCATGTACATACAACTGGAACCAAATATAATTTCACTTTAAGTTTGTTGAACTTCCCATGATCTCCCTTGCCTCTGGAACTTTTTCAAAGGTCAGTATCTCTTCCTAGAACACTTACCCACTATCTTCCCTATATCTTATTATTTTCCTATTAATTCCCCACTATTATGATTTGACGTTTATTCCATAAGTCTCAACCTAGATGCTACTTCCTAAAAACTTTATGAACCTCATGTCTGAGTTAAGAACCCTTCTATATGCTCAATACCATCCAATTTTACACTTATAATCGGTTTCTTACTGCCATATATTTCTCACTGGACATAGGTTAAGACAAAGACAATGTTTACTTTTCTTTACTAATTGATATTATCCATTTAGGACAAAGTTCGCCTGTAGTAGACATACCACGAAAATTTGATGAATTAAATTAACAACTGTGTGATTGGCTAAACTTCAATAAATCTCATTAACAGTGTTGTTCAACTGCAGACTAAGGGTGTTTCATAATTAATTGAGTGGGTCCTGACCATTATTTTTAAATGGGAATAAGGGCCAGATGGCTCAGGGGACAGAATGTGCGCTCTTTAACGAGGCTGCTGGTTCGACTCCCGCATGGGATGGTGGCTATGTCCACTTGCAACTAATTGAACATAGCACCTTGAGCTGAATGGTGCGACTGACTTGGAGCTGAGCTTGTTGCGCCCTCGACAACTAAGATTGAAGAACTGGACTGTTCCCCTTCCTCAATCCCCAACACTGTTCCCCTCCCCCCAATCCCCAATTTAAAAAAAAAAAATGGGAATGAGAGGAATAACCCTAAAGACAAGAATTATGTGAAACTTTATGCGTTATACTTTATGAAGCTCTAAGAGCTTGATTTTCAGGTAAAAGAAAAATTCTCTAAGTCATAAAGTTAGAATTTTTAATGTAAAAATGTGACGCATTAAAATATGCTGAAGGAACATTTAAGGTTTGTCATAATTGAAGACGCTCTTTAATTAATTTCTATTATGAGGTAACGTGAGAAGGTGAAAAAAAGGACCTGGTTTTAGAAATCAGTATGTGATTTTAGTTCCCTAAAGGTCTTCTACAAGGAATAACAACAAAGTGTTTTCTTAAAATTTTGAGTTTTCAAGAAATTATAATTTCTGATTAGGCAAAGCTCATTCTCCTTTAACAAGATGATATGATCTTCTTCCAAACACTTAACAGGCTGAAAAGCCAAGTAAATAACAGCAGTCCATACAGCTTTAATGTAGTTCAAAAAACCCACATTAGGTTTTAACTAAGCTCTCATGTGCCCTCCCCCTTTATTTTTATTTACCTCTTTTGACATGACCTCTGAAATATTGTATGATTCATCTTCTCTTCCTCTTTTCTTTCTCATAACTATAAAAAAAATTCATTTTATTTTGATAGCAATTAATACAAAAATATAAACACATATCCTTCAAAACTAGAACAAGGAAAATTACCTGGATTCTCGTCAGTTGTATCAATGGAATTTTTACCCTACAAAACAAGGATTTAGAATATTATTTTTCTAAGGAGTACTAGGGTATTACAAATGAGAAAAAACTGATTAAGTAAATGTTACTTGCAATTCAACCACATCCACAACTCTTCAATGCTATACTTAGAACGTGAAACTTTTCTATACTTCCCTACTGTAACTTATTTGTAACCAGAGCCCTTTACTTTTCCCCAAAGACTCTTTCCTCAATACATTTTATTTTACAAGAGAAAATTGCAAAACTAAACATAGAATTTTTATTTTGAAATTACTATGTATATCTTCTGTAACTGCATGTTTATGCTAAAAATATTCAAGGATATCGTATGTAAAGAGTACTGATTTTCAGTAAATTTGGAAGTTAAATACAACTGAAAGTAGAAATAAAAGAATGCTGACTGGAAAAATATTAGTGAGGGAAGATAAGGGAGAGGAAGAGATGTTGAAAAACAGTTTGAACATGAGTTGGAAAAGATCAAGAATAAGTAGATAACATGTTTGAGAAATGAAAATGACAATGAAATAAGGTAAATTAAAAAATGAAGTAAAAAAGTTAGAGGATTAAAAATGAAAACACCAA